TTTTCATTAAACATTTAGAACACTGGAGCTTAAGACAATAAGCCGATGTTGAAACTTAGAAGGTGATTTTAACCAAGCCAATTAAATGCATCGCTGCTCTCTTGCTGCTTTCACTTGGTAGGGAGCGAGAGGGCCGCAAACGGACCCGTGCCCGGCACGACAGCGAGCACTCGTGTGGCTCCCCGGTGGTGAGCTGTGACCCCAGTGAAGACCACAACTACGTGGTGGCGTCAGGGGTAGTCGGGGCCCCTGGCCATGCCCCCTTGGTGCCGTCGCCCTCCACCTGTTCCTCCTGCTCTCCTGCCTCCTTCCAGGGCCCTTATGACCTTTCCATCCGAGGTGGTCGCACTGCGGCGCACGCACGTGGGAAAGGCAAGCAAGGTTTGCCTTTGGGATTGCAGGGTGAGGAAAAGGAAGATGTTGCTGTAGAGAGGAGTGAAGAGGGGAAACAAGGGGAGGGAGGAGGGGGAGGTAAAGAATCGGCGTTAAGGCGGCAGAACCACCAGGCAGGGAAGAGCGACAAGAGCCAGGAGAAACGCAAAAGAAAGTTTGGAGTTTCTCTGGGTAGCGGTGCTGCTGCTGCCCCCAAAACAGACAAATGGCAGAGGGTGCTAGGCAGGGGTGGATGGGACACTCTGGGCAAACGAATGTTCAGGGCTTCTGAAGAGCCACCTCGCAGCAGCAGCAGGAAGAGTGGGGCTGGACGGGTCTTGGACGACAAGGATGAGGAAGATGAAGAGCTGAAGGCAGCAGCCGGCTCCCTGCTGCACCTCGCCGGTTTGCACCAGTGCCTAGAGAGCACAGCCACTGCGGTTGTCACCAAGGCAGCTCCTGCGCCTGATAGGGGCAGCCGCAGGAAGAAATAACTCACGTCACCACCAACCCTCCCTTATGCTTACGGGACTCATGCCAATTAAAAAAATACAATTATGGGGCAATACTTTTATTTTGTTTTTGTTCTGTTTTGGTTTTTAAAATTATTTTTCAGAATCAAGTATATTTTTGAGTGGGGATGAAAGCCATATGTTGACCCAAGGAACTTTGTTTAGTTACTGAATCAGTGCTTCAGAAGCATAGCCACTGTGCTTGGTCTTCCCTGTTGAATTAACGTCGTTTGCGGTGCAGACCATAAGAGGTTAATGACGCCCTGAAATCTCCTTGGTTTTCATGTTTTGAGAGTCCAAGGGTGTTATGTGTGTCCATTGTCTGTTTAACGCCAATAACCAACACCAATAATTTCGGTCCTAATCAGAAAAATTAAGTGGAAACCCTTGTAGGGGTCTTGCCGTCTGAATGATGATGTGCAGAGTGTTACGGAATTGTTCTAGTTTGCCAAGAAAATTAATAGCAATGTTTAACTATGTTGAGGTTTTTTTATTTTCTTAAATGTGCATTTGCACTTGAATTAAGTATGGCATTGCCTCTTGTACTCGCGAGAGACTGCAAGCACAGGCTTTGTAATTGGAGCTCAGCAAAAGCATGAGCCTCTTGCTAAGTTGTGGTCTCCAGATATAGACTGGTAATTCTGCCATGTAAAACTCGGACCCATCTTAATCTCATGGTGCACATTTCATTGCAGTATGACATATAGGATCTGACTTTTTAATTTTAAATGTAGACCTGAATGGGTCTGCTGTAATTAGACAATCTCCCCGCGTATCGATGACCTGGAGTGATGCATAGGTGAATCAGTGTAGAGCGCGTACATGATAAAAAAATAAAAGGGTATTTTACGATTACTGCCAGAACATTGCGAAAAGGTGGAATAATCACCAGTAAGCCGCATGTTCATAAGCAACGATGGCCTCTGCCAAGGGCAGTGAAGTGAGTGAAGTCTGAGGAGGTTAGTGACAGGCGCCGTGACACCGTGACGCCGTGCTATTGCTGCTCTTGAGCAATGTTCTTGTAACGGGTGTGGCTCCTCACCAGCATGTGGTGCTGCAGTGCTCTAAACGGCTGCTCCTGAATCGATGAAGATATGACACTGGCAGACAGCAGCCCCCTCGTGTGGGAAACTGCACTTGACATTAGCTACCGCGTGGAATGTGACCTCGGTGCCACACCAACATTATTCTTACTCTATTGACACTTTTGCATTGAATGATATTAATTATTTTACGTTTACATCAAGAAAAAATAGATGGACAGATAAAACAATCATATAAATCTAATATTATTTTAATCAGTGCTCTCTGATGACTAGTATTTATTTTAAAATGTCTCAATAATATGTGCAATCTTGGCCTGTGCTTCACCGAAACGATGAGAGCATTCTTGTAAATGCTTCTAGGACAAGATTCAAGGACAGCGTTTTATAGCATTCCAGCGTTGGGAGGGGCAGGTGGCATGGTCCCTTCCTGGGCACTGGGATTCCCTATCATCATCTTGTCTATGCTGTGAGCAGGGAACACCTCACACGCGCTGGGTTCCCCGGGGCCACCGGGCGAGGCCCTTCTCGTTTGTGCCACTGTGTTCACGTTGCCAGCGTCAGACACAATCTGCCATTGCATGCTTTTGTTTGAACAAACGACTCCTATGTGTGTTTTTTGTATGTCAATGTAATGTGACTTAGAGTTGTTAGTGACAGCATGCATTTTTCATATTCATAACAATTTAAGATTTGGGGAAAGGTGCTTTAACCTTGTATTAGCAAGTCCCGAAGCAATTCACTCTGCCTGGGTCGATAGTAAATATATAACTTACAATGTTTAAGTTTTGTTCAGGGATTTGGTGACGTGTTTGGCAGAGGGAGCCAATATCAGCATCAGTATTTGTGTCTCACGAGTCTGATAAATATATTGAAGCTATGAGAAACTGCCCTGAGGTTAAGGATGCTGAGGGCGCTGCTGCGCTGCTCTCAGTCAGCATGGGGGAGGTGAACACCTCGCGTTACTCGCGAAGCACATGCCAGGCTTGCGCTGGCGGCGGGTGTGCTGTTCAGAGATTTTTTTTTTTAAATGATTGTCTTCCAGAGTTAACCTTCCTCTTATAACTACGAGGTATTAATGACATCGTGCCAGGTAATCACCTTTCCAAAGCCGTGTGCTGTTCGTTGTTTAAGCTAATGCATATGACAATAGGAATTGGTCATACAATGAGTAGTGTTGTGAGGTGTAATTCCTAAGTACCTGTAGCTGGTAAAATAACTATTACTGTATATGTTCCAGTGAGCATTTTTCAAAACTTTTGCAAATTTATTAACTTTCTTATCCAGTATTCTGACACTTTGTACCAACATTTGCCTTTTCTGTTACTCAGAGCCTTGCACATTGTATTATCGTGTAGCAATATTGTGCTAAGTGTTGTCAATGGCCACATTTGTATTTGGCACATGCTCGAGTAACTTGGTGGCCCTGCCAGCCGCCACTTGGCTGCACTTACGGTCAGTGATGGCCCATGTGGACCCACTGGCAGTGCAGGGCGGCAGTGCTGGCTGTGGGTGAAGATTTTGGGCACTTACACTTAATTGCATGAACGAGCCAGCCCTGCCCGCGCCCTGGTAAACATGCCCTCACTTATCCCTCTTACACTCTGGTCCCATTTGGTTTTTATTTTGAGTTGTGAAATGTCATGTTTTGCCAAAACCTGCCAACCACCGAGAGAGAGAGAGCTGTGACCCATTGTGCGTGGCGCGGGCAGTGGTGTTTGTGACCTGCACGGGGACGGTTCCTCCGTCAGGCGTGTCCTGCCAAAGACATGTCCTTCGTTGTAAATACCCACTCCATTAAACATGGCCTCGCTCCCTTCCCTCTTTGTGGTGTCTTAATTTGCAGTTTTTTCTTCTACTTTGATTGTATTAATACAATATTCAATGATTGTACTGAATGTACACAGCGTGCAAGTTCAACTAATTAACATGGTTATGGCTGCCCTGGCAGATGTCGGCCAAGTTTTATGTTCTTGGCATGAAAGTAGTTTCCAATAATATTTTTCAGGAAAAAAGCCGAACGACACATTTTCTACTGTATTTCGCTGCCATGTAGTTGCATAAAAGCATTTTCTTTCACCTATGCATTTGCCCTTCAGTATGCAAATGTTAAAATGCTAAAACATTGAGAAGAAATCGTGATTTGAAGCTTTCGTGACTGCAGGAATCCATACTCTACGTGACTTTACCGAAAGAACCAGAGTTTTGAGAAGAAAATGTAAAAAGTGCTTCTTTTAGCTGTTTCTCTTATTTAGCACAATTGATTTTTGAATTGCAAACGGATATAGAAGCTGAATGTATACGTAGGCGTTCATGAACAATTACAATATTCAATTTAGTTTTTTCAGGTTTGGTTAGATCTGAGCTCCAGTTAACCTGAGGATGCTGGATATAAGCCCCAGCGAAACGTACCCATTTCAGTGTTGTAAGATTACTCACCAACACACTGGTGGGACTGAAGCAGTTCATACATTTGGCACATTTTATTCACGTGACACTTATGAATAGGCTGTATCGGGTCGAGGTGGGATTGACACATTTTTACACGACCTAACTGAAACAAACAATGATGGAAAATAGGATTGCTGAACCTCCAAGCTTAAGACAGTGGAAACCTGGAGAATGAAAATTTCTGGTAGTAATGACCCCACATTTCATTTAAAAAAACTGCTTTAAACCCAAGTGAGAGCCCCTTTCGATAAAATTCAAACATAACATTACTTGAGACACGTCCTATGTTTTTTTAACGATATTTATAGTTTATAACTTGTTCCTGAGCACCGAAAGGAAACATCTGTGGAAAGATAAACCTAATAGTTTAAGATCCACTCACCACTGAGCAACTTCATGCGGTAAAACTGAGAGAAAAGAGCCAGCCGGTCCTGTAAGCGCTGCCTTAAAGGAGCTTACATTTATTGTGTGACCCTTTCCATCATAGTTGGTGGATCCCTTGTGGTTGTTATGGCAACAGCTGCGTGTTGGTGAACATGGCAGTATAAGCCGATTAAAGGACAGAAGGTTTACTGAACGCAGCTGTGGAAGCGCACAAGCGGCGACGCATCGGGAGAGCGCAATGGAGCCGGCGTCGCAGAGGAGCTCCCTCTCGACGGGAGACGCCGCCGCGTTGGGCCCCGGCTCGGAAGCGGGACTGAGTGGAGCTGTCCACGCCGTGGCCGCCGTGCTGCTTTGGCTCGGCGTGTGCGTGGGCTTGAGCGCAAACGCGCTGGTGCTGCTGCTGTTCGCACGGCGCAGGGTCCTGCGCGTCCCCTCCTTCATGCTGCTGGCCAACATGAGCGCCAGCGAGCTGCTGGGCAGCCTCTCCACCACGGCCATGCTGCTGCTGTGGGGCCCGGGGCACGGCGCACGGGGCCAGGCCATGTGTCTTTGGGATGGATTCTCGCTCACCCTCTTCGGTAATGACAACAGAACGACAATGCACGTTTGCTGAACTTGTTTCGCGCCACCGCACGTGAGCCAACCGTGCTCATCGGAGGTGCGGGGAAGGAGAAAGTTAAAGCAAAAAATGAGTTCTAAATAAATCTGACTGATAACAGCAGCAGAGGGCCTGATTCTGCACTTTCCCGTGTGCGCGCACTATTACACGTGCCAGCATGTCAGATTCTGGCTTCATTGTTTTGATGTCATGTTTAGGCTTCTGCGCGGCTGTGGATGAACATAGTGGGCCTGATTGACATCGCTATCCTGGGCTGCTTGGCCATCATTCACATTCCAGATTTTTTTAGGCGGAATGCTGGGCGATTCCGCGTAAAATCGTATAATCCATATTTCGCAATCCTCGTGCATGCCGACGCTGCATACCAACACTGAGAAATGCAGCCCTCAATCGTGGCACCTTTGCGGCAATGTCACCATAAGTGACGAGGGGTTTATTCACAGAGCCGCGACAATCGCAGACGCTCTACGCATGTGAAGAGATCCTGTGGATCGTGAATGCAGAGGCGTGCTTCGTGCGGGCACCACGGTGGGCCACTCGGCGCAAATTGATGCTCACCTTTGGTGCCTCCATTCCGTAACTTCTTTTTATTTAAAGCTTTCGTGACTGCAGGGATTCATATTCTTGGTTCTTTATTGTTTCCCTTCTACGTGACTTTACCGAAAGAACCAATACATTTTTTTTGGTTTCTGAATTTGTACGAACACTTTGCAGCACCTATTCGTCACTCTAAACTTCAACCCAAATTCCAGAATGAAGGTCTTACCACACACGCTGATGTGGACAATGCGAGGACAAAGGAAGTTGCAGACGATACGATGGTGGTGGAGATTTCAGACTCAAAGGGTGCCTTGCGCGATTTTGCAACTCCGGGATAAGAGTTGGTGTGAGTTGGCGGATCATCAGTAGGTCAAGTTGCAGCTTCATCATCATCATCATTCATAATCATCAATTACCATCATCTTCAACTTATACCATCTTCATTAATCGTCATTCAAACCACGACTATTTTCATGACCATTTTCACTTAGAATTGTTATCCTCGTGCACTTCGTTATATTAAACATAATCATTGTTTTAAATAGCACTAAGCCGCCTTCAGCTGAGTGCGACATTCTGCCCCTCGGCGTAAAAAGGAGAAACGCACGCAGATTAGCACGAGTGAGTGGGTGCTGATGTGGGGAGCGGTGGCGCAGCGGTTAGCGCTACGCTGCGCTATGAACCCGACTGCCCAACTTCGATTCCCGCTCACGGCCAACGCCAGTGACGATTATCTCAGCTGGTCATGTGCCTCCCCTAGGTCGACTCAGCCCAAAATGAGTACTTGGCGCAATGTGTAAATATGGCCACTGGGGAGACAAAGGCGGCCGAGCGTGGTTCTGGGCACCCACCCTCTTGGCGTGCCACAGTTGCCGGCCTTCATAGGTGCTGCTCGCTAACAGCACTTGCCCCAAAAGTCTGTGAAGGCTACACGGGGGGGGGGGGGGGATCTTTGTCTTTGTGCCGATGTCGGCACACGTCCTGGATTCTCCTCGACACTTTTCCGGCTACTGTTTGGCCGTGGGGTATTTTCCACGTGTGTGTGTGTGCGTGCTTGTGTGGAGTGCGTTGGAACGCTCGTTCTGCGTGACGAATGGTGTCAAAATTGGAGACGTGAATCAGGCGGGATCACTTTTACCGAATGGATGCAAGAACGCCAGAATTCCACAAAAGTGTTGGATAAAAATAAACATCTACATAAATCAGGCTCACTGGATTTAATACGTAAGCTTTCGCTACCCATATCATCCATAATGCAAGGGTTGTGTTAGGTAGCGTAAATAGAAATGTGTCGTTAAATCCACCACCAGCCGACACAGCCAATTAGTAAGACTTGTCACGTAAACAGAACGTGCTAATTCGTTACTAGTTCAACACACGTGTGTTGGAAAGTAAATCCATAAATCTGGCTGTCCGCCTGGTGATCCTCGTTGTAATCACAGGGTTTCCATGAAAAATTTGAACTCGACTTATTAGATTCAAAATGTATTTGCAAAAGGCGAGTGAGTAACTTACCGTTCTTCAAAACAGAATTATTTTAATTGCCGCTTTGCATCGTGCTAGGTGATGCGTGCTTTGCTTACGGTGGTGATTTCATTTTAACTGCCTGTAATTTGATATAAAGGCCACGCTTATTTAAAGCTTAGAATTGTCAACGAATTTATTGTCGAATTGTAATTACAATTTACAATTACATGGAAGCTCTGTTTTAGATTTTTGTCTTCTTAAAAAATATATATCCACTTTTCTAAGTTTACAAGGACCAGACCTCCCACATCTCCTACTGCCTCCAACAAACTTCCAGTGAATCCAGAGTTTGACTCCGGTAACAGCCCTTTCATTGTTTGCTAGATATGAGGTTGTCTGTCATCTAGAACCGCCGTGGAAATTCCCTCCTCTCCTCTCTTATCAATCGTTCAATGAATTCCGCAAGTTTGAAAACAAACACAAACTTTCCTCATCCGCCTTTGTGTCACCCCAGACCCGATTGGCTGCCGATGCACGTTGCCAACCTGTAAAGTTCAGTCTTGTGAACTTTTCGGCATGTTCGTGGTACACACCGCTGACTTCACTTGAGGTTTACGTTTCGTTGTGGTAATTTATGGATCGTGTGTGAACCCAGTCTTAATCGAACTAAAGCAAATCCCAGTAATCAACAAGTGCGGGTGGGGAGAATCGCAGCAAAAGGTGTCACACATCGTCCCAGGCGCGTTCGCTTCGAGACTTCTTCGAGGGCACGCGTGGCGTGCATTTGAAGTCCTCTGAAGCCAGCAGCTGCTGTATTTCCAACGTGGACGATGGCTGAATGTTGCTTCTCAATTCATACCCATAAAAAAGAGAGCTGTATATGTAGAGAGAGCGACAGAGATCTTGCGTGAAACTGTGGAGGGAGGCGTCCTTCCTGCCCGTCTGTGCAAACTGCAGGCACCGTGTCCGCGGGGAGCCTGGCGCTGCTGGCCTTCGAGCGCTGCTCCAGACTCTCGCGACCCCAGGACCTCGACCTGTCTTGGGGTCGCCGTGCATCAGCCGCTGCGTGGCTCTACGCGCTGGCCTGGTCTTCAGCCCCGCTGCTCGGATGGGGTCACTACATGCCCGAATCGCACGGCCTGGGTTGTTCCCTTGACTGGAGACCCCAGGACGTGGCCTCGAACGCCTTTGTGCTGCTGCTCTTCCTCGGGTGTCTGGTTCTGCCCGTGGCTGCCACGGCGCTCTGCTACGGGCGAATCGTGCTCACGATCCGCGCGGTGAGAGATGTGATGGCATCTGAACGCGCCGATGTACACGTGCGTCGCTCAAGGATCCGTGGTGCGCTGACGTCCATCAAGTTAGTGTAAGAGTCTACCAAGACAGAAAACTAATAGGTTGTAAAACATGTCAAAAAAGGCTTCTCGCAAATTATTGATCCTCGTGGAAAATAATTCTCCCTCCGCACTGAAGCAATTGGGTGTCAAGGCAAATGCATTGAAAGCATGGTATTGTTTCTGCGCGTAGCAGGTGTGTAATCAACACAGCATTCGCCTCCATTAGGAGGATCACGACCTGTCACCGATATCACGAGATCCTGATCGGGTGTTTTTATTTTTCTGGGAGCGGCTCCGCTTGTGCCACCTGATGCGGGCTTTGATATTGGATCCACGTGGCACTTGTCAATATCCAAACTCTGGTGAGCCACTCGATTATCTCTCCCCGGACTCTCTATTTATAATGTGCTGTGTAGAAGCAACAGCTGTTTAACAGGTAGGCCTTTCGCAACCAATATCCATAATAAAGGGTTTTTGTTTTGGGTTAGATCGCGTAAATATAAATGTGTCGTGAACCCACCACCACCCGACAGAGCCAGTTAGTAAGGTTTGTTACATTAACAAGACGTGCAAATTAGTTACTGCTTCAGCAGACCGGTGTGTTGGAGAGTAAACCCACATTTGCAATTTGAGTACGACGTTTCGCTGGTGATTACAAGCAGCTTCATCAGGCGACTTGCCAGAATTGTGAAGTCTTTGTTTCGCTCGTAAATATAAAGACCCATTGTCCCCAAGCGTCGCTTATTATACATATATTTATCCTGGAGGAATACGAGGATACTTAAGCTCCCCCCTTCCCCCGCCCACAGACGCATCTTAAAGGCGCCACAGTCTATTCTCTTTGGTTCTTTCGGTAAAGTCACGTAGGTATAAAACTAAATAAATTAAATCACGACGTTTAAGGCGCAACACAAGCGTCCGTCATCAGGTGGGGACAACCACAGCAGGAAACAACTGCTGAAGCAGGCAGGGGGACTGCTGGAACACGAGAACAGTCTCATTGACAAATGCGTTGAATCATTGGAACCTCATTTGCCAGTAGAAAAATATGATCATTGGTTTTTTACCCTTTTATCTGGCAACAAAACTGACTAGACTCTAAGGAAAGCTGTCTCGGGTGTGGACCAATCAACTTCAAGGACAGTGCAGACATTATCAGTTATGTTTTTGTTTGCATTACGACTGCAGGTATTGTGGTCTATGCAAACATGACTCCTTGTAAAAAAAGGTTTCAGTTTTGTTGCCAGATAAAAGGGTAAAAAAACAATTATCATATTTTTCTACTGGCAAATGAGGTTCCAATGGTGTAAATGCTTACCCCGAGCTCTCATACTCTGATGGTGCATTGTCTTTGAGCTGTGCGCCTTTTGGCGTCATCTGGTCCAACACCATGTGAGACTAGGCTCTAAGGAAAGCTGTCTCGGGTGTGGACCAATCAACTTCAAGAACAGTGCATACATTATCTGAGTTATGTTGTTTGTTTGCATTACGACTGCAGGTGTCTATGCAAACATGCCTCCTTGTAAAAAAAGGTGTAAATTTTGTTGCCAGATAAAAGGGTAAAAAAACAATGATCAAATGCGTTGAATGTTGTTTTGTGTCTTCGTTTGCTCGCCGTGGCCCCACGCTGCCCCAGCTTCGTACTCGGTACGCAGCGCACACGCGGCGCGCTGCTGCCCTCGCCTGCTACGAGCAGCAGGCGGCACGGGCGTGGGTGCTCGTGCTGCTGCTCTGCTTCACGGCACGCACGCCGCACGCGCTGATGGCGCTCATGGATGTGCAGAGAGACTACCACGTGGCATCGGCATCGTCGTCGTCATCCTTCACTCCCGTCATCTCTGCCGTGCCAATGTTGCTCACCCGGACTACCGCAGCATACCACCCCCTGCTGTATATTTTCACGAATAAACAGGTGACTTATTTCGTGTGTTTATAGAAGTATTATAGGCTGGTGACGTATTCCCAAACACGAGTCAGGTTGCTGCTGACCCAGATGTTTGTTCTCGCCGTGCGATGTCATGAACCAATGAATGTTCAAATGAATTAATTTTGACGAACACAAACGACCCTTGGAAGAGTAAGGGGTGTAAAGATGCATAAGGCCGTCCATAAATGACGTCACGCGATTTTGGAAGATTTTTTGACCCCCCCTCGTCACACGGCGTCACACAAAATTAGACCCGCCTCAAATATGACGTCACAAAGCTCTGCCCCCCCCCCAACCATATGTCCATTAAAAATAAAACATGCTTAAAATCGCTTGAAACTATTGAATGTAGTGCGCATTTTATTTAATGTGGCGCTGCACTCTGATGTTGTAGGAGAAAACATTTATTAAAAAGTATATTTAATTAAGTAGAACGTGTTGTCTTTGTTTATTTAAAGTTGCGCATTTTGATGTGACGCCACATTTCTCACACCCCCCCCCCCCCACATCACAAATGTCTGACCCCACCCCCCTAGGTGCGTGACGTCATTTATGGACGAACCCAAAGCTCAATAATCCATGGCCAATGACATGGACCGCAATCTTTGAATTGTGTGCGTTGTCCGCGTGCGTGCCCCCCCCGCCCCCCGCAGTTCCGCCGATGTGCGTGGGGGCTGCTGGTGTCTCGTTGGAGAGCGTGGCCAGTGGGGGAAGCAATGGGGTCACCACCCACTGGCCAGGTGACGCACACCATGGAGCTGGGGGACACCGTCCCCTCGCCCAGCAAGGCCACTCCACCACACAAGGAGGGGGCAGCCGTCGGCGAGACCAGGGCAGAGACGCACAAAGTAGCAGCCACTCGCATCATTCACGTGGCTCCTTGCACAAGCACCTCCAGCGGAAGTGTGCTGCTCACCTAGATAAGATAGACCTGCAGTTTTGTTGAAACAAATTTTTTTAAACGAATTTAGTATTTTGTTTAAAAACCTATTTCTTTAGTACTTTGTTCGGTTTAATGCGGTCGGCGACGTATGGTGGGAAAAAGTTCAACATACAGGGGCTCCTCTACTTAGGAATTAGGTTCCACAGGCCTGTTCGTAAGTCCAAGTTTACGCCTGTAGATTCACAAAATGTTGTACGGGATGGACACTAAACACGGGGAATGGCTTTAAAAGTTGTATAATCTCCTGTAGATGCCACTGGTTCTTCATGTGCTGCAGATGCCACCACCACCATCTAAATGCGTGGCGGTTAAACAACTCTATGTTCGAATATTCAACTCCACATTGGTCAGGTTTGTTCGAATCTCTGAAAGTTCGTCAATCGAATCTTCACAAGTAGGAGTCCCTGAACATCCGCCAAACCCTTGTGCAGCTCTCTTGACGAGATCATTTCTTGGGCTTTCCCAACAAGTGAGTTATCACAGGTGAGTACCGGACACCAATGTCATCCCAAGTGTGAGCAGCTACACTCAAGCAGCTCGTCATTGTTTGCAATGTACCCATCACATCAGTGACTACCAGAAAGCTGATCTTTCTGAATGCGTTCATTCAGCAGATACGCCGAGTTAAGAAAATCGTATCTACTCAGTGGCATGACAAGAGAAATGAATATTTATTGAGTGTTTACGTACTGAATTATAATTACCCGTCTGCAAATATGTAATGTAATGGAGACGTGTGGTGATGTGTCGCTTGGTTTTTGATCAACGAGGAAAGCTATTTTAAAATTACTTCTAAATGTATAGTTTGATGTAAAGAAAGTGTTAATAACCCATAGAAATTACAATCTAAACTGCTAAAGCAGTGGTTCTTAACCTTTACTGCAGCCTTGTACCTGTTCATAAATACATCGAGGGTTGATGACGCAAAGTAGTTGTACTTACGTGCCCATACTTAATGTGTTTAGATGATTTACCTTCTAAATAAAATCTGGCATGTCTCGCACCCCCAGGGAGTGTGTGCATCCCAGGTTAAGAACGACTGTGCTAAAGTATTCCAATTGCTGTATTAAAAATAAGTATGATTATACAGTATTTCATTATAGTAGTTATATAAACAGCAGCTCACACTAACATTATTACATAGCAGTGTTTAATCACATTGAACATGACATTAATTTTTACTATTTCATATAGCAATAAATGATTAATGTTAATGTGTTAGCAACCATCTCTAAGGCTACTCCAGAAACCCATTTGTTGCAGCTTCATAAGAATTGTGCTGTATTTAAACACCCAAACTGTGAAGCAGCAAAATGTATTCAACACTGTTGCCTAACAGTGTCTTGCCCAGTTTTTCTTATGCAGCATTAATACAATGCACGTCTGTAGAAGCTGTCCTGTGTGCTACAGAATGCATTTGTCAAACATCAACTTGAGTATGTGCTCAAAACTGGCAAAACGTGGTCTCTACAGCAGCAGTGTGGTACACAGCCACTATTTAATGACGATAACATCATTTATTAATACGGGAAAGGCTGCCCTCTCGAGACATTTTTAGGAGGATGCTGCATTTGCATGTTTGACAATTACTTTCAGGAATGTTCTGCATGTAAGCTGAAACCCGTGTATCTGCAGAAAAAAACGTATTCAGCGTGCAAAATGAAAATACTCAAAGGTTCCACAGGTGGGTCAGAAAGCTACTTGATGTACTTACATCTCCTGTCCATCTCACAAGTGAAGGGCGGTTGAGAGTTGCACAAATCGACACAATCCATCAACTCTTGCATCCAAAGCACTGAATTATAGGCAAGTGCCACCGTGACCAGCTCAAATCTGCTTGCTTTAAAGATACAAGCTTCTAATAAGGCTCATTATCAATTAAATTCATGATCCATAATAAGAGCCTACGTGTTAAACTAAATTCCTGATATTATTTATGTATTCCACTGTGCAGTAAAACAACTGAGATTTGCAGAGTATGATTCCAGCACTTGTGCTTGCTTTAATCTCTGAGAAGAAAAGTTTTTTTACGGGTGCAATGCAAAGGAAACAGTAGCAATACTGTTGTACACCCACATTTATTCAGGTCAATAAACACAAACATCTAACTTATAGAAATCTGTACAGATTGAGGGTTACACTGTGGAAGATGGACCAAGGACTGTACAATGCAACGCTGGGAAAGAGCACAACTAAATATAATACTGATGAAAAGCGAGGCTGTCCATGAAAGGCCGCACCAAGTTGTCAGTAGCAAAGTAAAAGATCAATCCAAATGTAATGGAGATGGGAAGTGCTGGTAATGCCTTCTTGAATATTGCCAGCAGCAGCAGGGTCAGGCAAAGGCCCTGGAAGGGGAGGGGGTTTAAAACAAAAATTTACATCAGTTTTTAAAATAAGTAATATTTAAAAATACTTTTTTTTAAACACGCTTTAATTTAATGTACCGTACTAGTAATGATAGAACTCCACGACTCCAGGTGGCCCCGAAGCTTGCCATAACGTAAGGGACCGTGGTCAATTACAGCCAACATCAGTTGAGCGTGGACAATTAGACCCAAGCCGAAATATAACATATAAAAAAGAATGTTTAAAATGTTTTATTTGATTTTTTATGATAGAATATAGTATTGTCATCAGTATGACATAAGTATACCAAGTTAGCAGTCGATACCACATTGGGAAGTGGGTTAAAATGGAGTTACAAGAGTTGATTATACAACAACGACAGAGTGAGTTAATAAAAAGCGTGTAAAAAAACCAGCAGTTGGATGCCAATGCAGGAGGAATTCAGAGAGTACTTGGGACTAAACGTGTTGGAGCGTGGCTGCTTACGATAAGGATGGCCACGAAGCAGGCAAGGGTGGTGTTCCAGTCTCCACTGGCAGCTGCCGAGGCCTTTCCCACCAACACACTGTAGAAGATGAAATCTCCCAGGCCAAGCTTTATACCTCCTCCTGAACTCTCAGACACACAAGCTTATCATTAATCATTCTATTTTACATACATCTTCATAAACCAAGATTTCTATTTGTTAGAGAATGACGTTTGCACTTTCACCGCAATAATTTTTGAGCGATCAAACGAGCGATGGTGTTTGTGCCGTAGTGGGTTCCATGCCCCCCGATGCTGTGAGAAAACCGAGTGTGGTTGCTGCATCGCAAGTCACTCACGTTCCTCCTCCGACTCTTCCGGTGGCATGGGGGGGTTTGCGCGTGCTCGTTCCCGCGCCAGTTCTCGAGCCTCATGAGTGGTTCGAGGCACATCGGGTTCACTTGGCTGCGGGTCCCCCAAGAAATTACCCGTGAAGTCACCTTGGCCGCCATTTGGTACTGAAATTTCACCAAATTCACAAATTATCCCATTTTTCACAATTAAATCAGAAAACATTATAAATATTTTAACTGCCTGTAATACATTATTCAAAGTCATTATCGGATAATAACTCAATTGTCATGAACATTTTGCTTAATTCATGTAGAGGCTTCCATTTTATAGTCTATGAACCCACGTCAGATTTCTCACTTTCCAATAATCACACGAGTTAGTAAAACTCTATATGTCTATTACCATTGATGGATTCTTTTATTTTATTACATATCAAAGCATTTTGCTGGCCACGTCAGTACCACTAAAAATATTCCACCTTAGGTTACCAGTTTCTGCAACTGAACCATTGTATATTGAGGAGACAAAGGTGAAGTATATGGCACCTTGTGCATCATTGTTTGGCTCAGGGGAAGGCCTCGTACTCTGCTGCTCCGTGGAGTTTGTGTCGGCCATGCCCACCATCCATACCATGGTTGCTGTAAAATTAATCGACAGTACACACCCAGACAAAAAAATTACACTCAAAACATGAAAAATATAACTTATAAATGTACACATATGCACACAATTCTACACGCAAATATACGTATCGATCATTTTATTATTTTACATTTCATTATACACATAGTGCAGAGGCTACATTAAGCATGTCATTTTTAAAGAGTACATGTGAAATTAAAATGAGAATCGCCTACTTACAGGAGTAGATGAGTGCAGGAAAGATAGGCTCATTCCGTTCCTGAGCAGTCTCTACAAGCATCCTCAACGGGCCCTTTGGACTCAGCACAGCGATCAGATCTACAAGAATGAAATATCCCAAAGTCACGGTCAGTACAACACAAACAGCTTGCAGCGAATTATTATTGGTATGCCACATTTACAGAAACCCCAGGCATCATGCTGCGTTATTATACCATAGATAGATATGGCTCCAAGGATGACCCAAGCAGACCACTCGGGGAGGTACTTGATGAAGACCAGGGCCATGAGAGCGCTGATCATGATGAGGTAGGCTTGCTGCAGAAGCAGTGGGCCCTTCCAGTGGATGCATATCATGCCCACAACTCCAAAGTTCCACATGATGAGAATGAGTGTTGGGTAGTCCATGGCCACATTGTAAGTCTTGAATACTTCTCTGAACACAGCACACAATTAAGTAACAAATATTAGAAATGGCACTTTCTAGTATTTGATTAGTATTACAGCATTCTGCACTTTTACCATATAAATAACTTACAATTACACGATGCTTTATGCCTCCTAAACGCATTAATTTTGACACAATATGCATGTTAACAGATTAAACATTTCCGGAAAAATATTTTCCACAAATTCCATCAACTGCCCCTTCTCTACTTACCCCAGATAAAGGTAGGTGAAGAGAAACAGCAACATTAAGGATGACATAATCAGCCAGCCATGGATGAACTGTGGAAAGAAAGATTATTAGGATTAGAATGCATGGAAACTGCAGTATTTGCAATATGTTTGTGTTGAGTGGTGGGTATATTGGTCACCTTGTAGCAGCGGTACTTGTACAGCAGCACCAAGAAGATGGTCAAAACCACAATGACGCTGATGAGAATGATGGTGTTGAGAATGGAGTTAAGCACTCGCTGTCCCACAGTGTCTGTGTCCTCGGTGAATGGTGTGTAGATGCTGGTTATGGGAACAACAGAAGTGGTGGTTATTTTTCAACTCTTAAGAAACCAACTTAAAACCATGATCACTCCAGACTTTTTCCCATGAAAAAAACTAAAAAGTAATGCATTTCTAGGAGTACATTACTTTCCTGTAGATCTTTCACTCATGCAGAATTACAACTCGTGTTAAACGATGCCAGACAATTTGCAAAGCCATGCCACTGTTAACTTGTCATAATTTACGCCCAAGTGATGCTGGTTATAGTATCCTCATTAGGTGAGCAGGTAAAAGTATTTCCCTATAGAATGTCGACACCCTAAGGAAAGTAGCTCCGAGTAGGGCATTGTGTTTGGGATTGCATAGAAAATATAAAAAGAACAACCCCAAGTAACGTCACTGTGGTTCCTCCAACCTCCCAGGGCCAGTGACATGCCAGCTATATCCAATGGCTACACGTGAATCTCTACTACTTCATTAGCCATGACTTTTTCAATCTGTTTTCTTCAACACTTGCTTTAGAAAGCAGTTCATGCGAGCCGACTCAAGTGGCTGGAAACCACATGGAGAAAGTGTTCTTCTCACACCAACACATTTAACTATGTTTTACACAAAATATTACATTTTAAGTAATCTTTCACATTTCTGGCTAGCACTAAGAAGCCAATGACATTGTTTGTAAATAACTGCACGACTTTTTTTTCTCAAATGGGTTTCTAGACCAGGGGTAGGCAACCAACAGAACAAGAACAATTTTTTGAGAATTCAGTAATAAACTCAATATTTCAAGGGCTGAATGCTCGTAAAATCACGTCACGGAGGACTCCTTAAAGATACACATGCGGCTCCGGAGGCAGGTTTCCGACCCCTGTTAGAGATCAAGGTGGCATCTTTAAATTCTACAACTATCGTAACCATTCAGCGAGCCTTAACGTGAAGTGCACTTACAGTTGGCCGTTTTTTTCCGTGTAGAAGGTGACGGACTTGATGGTTGCGACGACAACCAGCATGCACAGCGTGACTGGTACGAAGAGCATGATGACGTGCTTGGCGCCATACTTCAGTGAGAGCTCTTCCTCCTCGCTCTCCTCGTCCGTGTGGGGCTCGCTGTGCGACCGTTCGCGCCCACTGCCGTCCCCATCCTCCCTGCGCTCTCCTCTCTGCCTGGTCGTGGTGGTGGTGACCTGTGGCTGAACACAAGCGACGCAACACATTCACATTGCGGCCAATGTTCTGCATTGTTGAATGAGTTTCGTTTTCATGGATTCTTACTTTTAAGAAATAATGGCAATTAAATCATTGTATATAAGCAATAGAAGAAACAATGAAAAATCCCCAATGACACTAATGAAAATTACAATCCAAATCTGGAATGCTCAATTGAATGCTGCATTTATTACCCATCCGATTAGCAGGGTTGGTCACTACGTACGGTGCGAAAGAAGTTAGACATACGTGGTGCTAAACTGGGGACTAGCTGGCATGTGATGTTTTTTCACAGTGTGGAGGAGACAGCTCACAACAAATCAGAATGTCCAACAATATTCACGTTTCGGGGGTTACACGCAAGACAAAATATATCATGGGGCCTTTTTGCCAGTATCAAAAGTATGAAAAATAAGAAGTTATTACCCAACTCTTACCCGGAGTTATAAATGCTTTGATACGTGCATCGTCTTTGCACCGTTCACCTTTTGGCGTTGTTCTCTTGTCTGACACTGATGTCACTAGGCCATAAAGGACAAGGCTGTCTCTGGTGCCGGCCCATCAGTTTCAAAGACAACGCCATATATTATCATATCATGAGAATAGGTTTTCCGGCAACAAACAGATGTTAAAACACCAAACTGAAACCTTTTACAAGGAATCAAGTCTGTAATTAACCACAATGCTTGTGGTCAGAATGCAAACAAAAAAACACTGATAATATATGCATTATACTAATAGGGTTTTCCCCCTTTTTTCTGGCAACAAAACTGACACCTTTTATCAGAGTATTGTTTTTTGTTTGCATTTGACTGCAAGTCAATGTAAACATGATTCCTTGCAAAAGGTGTCAGTTTTGTTGCCAGAAAAAAGGGGGAAAACCCTATTAGTATATTTTGGTACTGGCAAAAGAGGTCCCATGAAATATATGCATTGTCTTTGAAACTGATTGGTCCACACCAGAGACAGCTTTCTTTTGAGCCTCGTCTCAAGAGGAAGCCAGTTCGTGGTTAATGTAGTGCTTGATTCCTTGCAAAAGGTTTCTATTTGGCGTTTGAACATCATTAAACCTCCCGTTTGATCGCCATAAAGTGGGCATAACCCCATTCTTAAGGACAAAGCGTGTTCACAAAGCGTGAGCGAGAGAGCGAGAGAGCCGTGGGCTCACCAGGCCATCCTGCGCCGCGGCGATGCCGGCGCCTTCCTGTGCGGCCGCCGCCGCCGCCGCCTCGGACACGGAGCGCGCTCGGCGCTCGCTGGAAACCACGGCCTCCATGAGGAAGTTCTCTTCGCCGCAGCCGCCTCCTCCTCTCGCCTCAAAAACGCTCATCCACTGCCGAACTTTGCCGGCTCCGTAGCTGCTGTTGCTGCTGCACAAACCACGAATCACGAATCGCCGCGCGTCGTTGTGCCACAACCACGCACCGGGCCCCCTCTGGTGAACACAAAGGGCCTCCTCCTCCTCCTCGGGGAGAGGGTTATGGCTCGAGCCGTGCGGTCTCAAAGGACTGGCACGGCGCACCGAGCTGTGGGGTGGTCAACAACAACATCGACATCAACAACATCATGGGTCATCGTCCCCCCCAGCCGTCTTCGGTCTCCCCGCGGTGCTGACCGATGCGGCCCAAACGCGGCACGGCGCGCACCGGCCGAAGAGTTAAGCTCACGTCATTCACACTCGGCGTAACCACAGCCTTCAATTCACTCTCAAGGGGGGACCTTTAAAGGACTAGAAGTGTCACTGCGGCAGACGACGACGACATTATTACTGCGAATGCTGCGAGTTGAGGCCGGGGCCCGCACCAGGAAGCCGCGCCCAGCCCCGACACTCGACGCGAAACTCCACCGCAGACGAGCAGAGCCCCGCACGAAGTAAAGCAGTCACACAACCGGCAACAACAACAACAACACCAACAACAACAACAACACTAGCAGCAGCAAGTCCTGGCTGCTGCTACTGGAAGTCTCCCGGCTCCGCTCCGCCGCCGCCTCCTCCTACCTCGCAGCTCCTGGGGCCTCCTCCGAGCCACAACCACCACCACGAGCGTTTATATTTCCCACCCCACTTAAGCACGACGGTCCACATTTCCCACATCGCATAAACAGCACGCTTCGCATTTCCCACATTAGATAAACATCGCTCTCTACATTTCCCACATCGTAAAAACATCACGCTTCACATTTCCTACATCGTATAAACATCACGCTTAACATTTCCCATATCACATAAACATCACACTCCACATTTTCCACATAACATAAACATTACACTGTACATTTCCCACATCACATAAACAGCACACTGTACCTTCTTGGTTCTTTCGGTGAAGTCACATAGAAGGGAAATAATAAAATAATAAAAATAAACATAATAAAATACCATTCGCACAGTGAGAATTGTATTTTATTATGTTTTCTCACAGTGAGAATTGTATTTTATTATGTTTTATTTTTATTATTTTATTATTTCCCTTCTACGTGACTTTACCGAAAGAACCAAGAAGATGAATCCCTGCAGTCACGAAAGCTTTAAATCAAAGTCACACTGTACATTTCCCCACATCACTTAAACATCACACTCTACATTTCCCATATCACATAAACATCGCACTTTATATTTCCCACATCACATAAACAGCACACTCCACATTTCCCACACCACGTAAATATCACACTCCACATTTCCCACACCACATAAATATCACACTCCACATTTCCCACACCATATAAACATTACACTCCACATTTCCCACATCACATAAACATTACACTCCACATTTCCCACATCACATAAACATTACACTCCACATTTCCCACATCACATAAACATCACACTCCACATTTCCCACATCACATAAGCATCACACTCCACATTTCCCACACCATATAAACATCACCTGCTACATTTCCCACACCACACAAGAGCGCCGTCGCCACATCACAGCGACGCGTGACGTGGCTCGATGACGGCCCGCGCCCTCTGACCCCTGAAGATGGCGCCCGTCGAGTTGGCATTGCGAGGTGGAGCGGCGGCGTCGTCGGCGTCTCTCGCAGTGGAGCCTTAGAGACAAGAGACACAAGTGGAGCCTTAGAGACAAGAGACAAGACTGGGGCCTTAGAGACAAGACTGGGGCCAGGGCTGAGAGTGGAGCCGTTGATTTAGACTGGAGCCGGGACTCACAGTGAAGCCATTGGGAGTGGAGCCGGGACTCGGAGTGGAGCCATTCGGAGTTGACTCAAGGGAGGAACTATTTGATTCGGAGTGGATCCGGGACTGTGAGCGGAGCGGGTGACTCACAGTGGAGCCATTCGGAGTGGAGCCCCGAGGGGTTGTGCACTTGAAGCCCGTGGTGGATCCGAGTCGTCTCCGCGGTCGGAGCCGCCGGCAGCAGCAGCCGCGGTGCGTGGCCATGGCCACGTCAGCCACTCGTCGTGAGTCTCGCGTCTGAGGAGCCTCGCCTCGAACGTCGGACTAGTGGCTGTGGTGGTGGTGGTGGTGGTGGGCGATGTCGTGGCTGGGCCTCGGGAGTCTGGGCGGCGGCCTGGGCCAGTCGCTGGGCCAGGTGGGAGGCAGCCTGTCCTCGCTGAGCGGACAGATCTCCAGCCTCACCAAGGACCTGCTCACGGAGGGCACGGAGGAACGTGGCGGTGAGTTTCACGATCCACACTTAACGAGGGGTCGGGGTTTAAAGTTGATGCTAATGTCACGTCCGGCCGTGAAGGTGCACGAGGAATTGAAATGAAAGCGGCGTTTAATGCGAGTGTTGGCGTCTTACGGCGTGAGATTAAAACGAGGGGAAGTAAGGTTGTAATGATGGGGAGGACATCGTGACTTCTACATCTTTCAGAATCGGAATCTTGCTTTATCCTGGAGGAATCCAATTCGCTTATTTATGAAGCGCTTTTTAACAGGCGTCCAGGAGGGGTGGGTCCGCGAGGTACAGCAATAAACAATTTAAAAAAGCCCCGATAGGAGTGCAAAGTGCAGTATTGAAAAGACAAGAAAGTAAATAAGTAAACATAAATAATGTACTTATATTCCTGCCGATTTTTAAACACTAAATGTAAGCTTGGGGAAGGCAGCGAAATAGCAATAAAAGCAGTCCCAGACCACACCAAGACCATAAACTTGGTACATCCAGTGAAAATCGAAGAGCAAAATGATAAAGCGTGTTTAGTTTTTGTAGTGTTTCAGTAGTAATGTTAAACTCTTTACGACATCTGTCGCCCGGGAGATCAGCTGCATAAACATTCCCTGAACTATTTAAAAGGCGTAAATTAAGGGGAATTTTAACTTTAGGTGGTGTATGCAACCTGCCACTGGGCCTGAATCTGAAACAGATGCAGCTTCAGTCAGTGGCGGAGAAATCACATTCATACTCTTATCACATTGCCAAAAAGTAGGAGTTGTGGAATATAGTACAAGAGTACTGAATGGAATGTGCCAATAATTACAATACATTGCATCCTTAAGTGTTTAAGATTGCTGTGGATGGTGGTGATGCCATTACTGTTGCTATTATCAAATACAAGTGGGTCACGTGTTCAAGATAGAAAGTTAATATTTCCTTTTTTTTACTTTGACTTGTTTTATTTGCCTTCCGTCCACAGGTACTTTTGAACTAAATTTAACATAGATGCCTGTGTACTCTTTGATACGCATGCTTTGTTCAACACATATGTATGCTTTTTTTTAAACAGATGCTTCTACAGAGCTCCAGCTGACGAAAGCCAGGCTGCAGGAATTACAGGCCACCTGTACAACCCAGAAATCAGAGGTAATATTACATGTGAATTCGTATTCAACAGCATGAGGACAGTTTTGGAGATTCAGTTTTAATGAATCACTTAACAAATTAAAATTGATTCAACTTGTCCATCACCATCGTGTTCAATTGTTACCGTAATATTTTTTTAGGTTATTTTTAATGAATTAAGTAGTCTCATTGATTAAGCCTTTAATTCATGCAAACGCATTATATTTTAACAAAAATAAATACCTTTTAACGTATTTAACGAGGTTGTAGCCTGTTTGTGTTATTGGCAAGAGTGAGTGCCTGAGATCACTCCTTAAGAATAAATCAATATTATGAATAGCCTTGCATTAATGACTAGTTTTTATAATCAATGTTACAACGTTGGCTGGAATAGCAAAACTGCTTAGCTTGTATATTCACACCCACAATATTCATGCCAGCTCATTACTCCATCATGGGCATGGAAGTAACTGTGATCCAGCTGCTTAATATTACATCATTTTCCCCCCCATGAGACAGCTTGTTGAAATGCAGTGAAAACAGTTGTGTTGATAAAATTGTAAAATTTGTCAAAAACCACTAATTATAATCATTATTCGTTTTCAGAGTAGGAACTCTTGCAATCTTTGTTGTGTAGAGAGATGGACACTTAAGCCACTTTTATAATGCATACTAATACAAATGTTAAACCTTATATAAAGTACGATATATAAAAAAAAAGTACATCGTCGTTTCATGAATAGTCATCGTGCCTGTTGAGGGCAGAGTTGTTGCATTCTGGTAAACCTATGTGTGTGTTGGCAATGCAGCATGAGCGGCTACGTGCAATGTGTGCGGAGCTGGAGGATAAGAAGGAGGCGGCTGAGCTGCATGTGCAGCACGTCTCTGCCGAGTACCGAACGCAGCTGCAGCAAAAGGAGGTATGAATTTAACCGGGCTACACGTTCACACACTTCCATGCAGGGTTTTAAAAAGCACGGCCTGGTTACTTGCGTGGTTTCGTTGCTTCAATTGGCACAGTCAATTCAATGTGCTGTGGGGAGCGCTCTTAGAAAAGAAACGCTGACACAGCTAGTACCACTTAGAGATGTGCTCACATATTTAAAGTAGCTGAGGTTGAGTTTGGAGTTCAAGTGCAGTTTTGCGGGTTGGGTTGCATGTTCAGCATTTCTTTAATCGAGCATTCGCCTTGCGGTGCTGCAGGCATCTTCAGAAGTTGAGTAACAGCGGTGCATGGCAAAAGCTAAAGAGAAAAAGTTCTCAACTTTGCAGTCCAACCCGGAAATCCACGCATATGGAATGTGTTGCTTTGTTTTTCATGTGTATGATTTTAAACAAAATGCTGTATTTGGTATTGTAACAATAGGACACGTCATATTTGAACACGTTTGAATATGACATCTATATTCCAATGTGTTAAATTATATGAATTCGTGATAAAATATTGTTCCTTACAACATTGAAAACCCGGGCAAATACGTAACTAATATATGTACTGTATTTGCAAAGGCTAAAACACAAATATGACAATCGCAAACAATGATCAACAACACACTGTGTAACAGTGCATCGAATGTCCATCACAGTGGAAACATGAGTTAGAAAAATGACTACGTATTACTTATGTTCACATAATATTAACACGTAATATAATCAACTACATATTTATAACTGTATTATTTATACATTAATACAACTAAAAAACGCATTTATAGTTTCATCTGAAGTACAGTGCTTCACATAACTGAAGCAGAAGAGAGGAGTTCTGTGGAATATTTAAAACATTTTCAATTGGGCTTGAGTAATGTGCTTCATTTATTTGCAAAATATAAAAAACTAGCAGCGGAGAGAGCTGCTAAAGAGCAAAAGGAAGACCTACTTAAGTGTTCAAGGAAGGGTAAGATTCAACAAATTCCATGCAACAAATTATTATATAGATTTACAATTATTGGTGCACACATGCATATCGGTTGTACTTATTACAATGGTCGGGGATAGCGTCTTACACTTTGTAGTGCTGACAGTCTTCCACTGCTCTACGCTTAATTATTGTGGAAATAGTCTTCTGGTCAGAGGTTTTGCTTAATTTTTCATATATTTTGAGGAGCAAAATTCCAGCTAACTGTAGTCTGGCTTTAAGAAGTTTACCTGTACAACGTGATTGAATCACTATTATTGACATTTGCAGGCGAAACAGTGAAGGGCTGTGTATGTGTATGCGATCATACCAGGTGGAGGTGAGCCTTTTGCGGACGAGGCAAAATGCCCTCCAGGAGCAGCTGCGTGAACTACAATATGCACAA